CCCATCCACGTCTCCGCACCCATGCCAGCGAAGTTCTTGAGCAGGTTGTCGAGGCTCTTTGACTGCTCCCCGAAGCCGCCGGTCGCTATGCCGATGACGGGGGGGCGCTATCATAAATATAAAAAAATGATATCAACAAACGAATCATTTTTTTATATCCTGGGGGACTTCGCCCCCCAGACCCCCCCCCTCCACGCCTGCGGCGGGCCTTGTGTTGTTACGTCCCGGGGGCTCCGCCCCCAGATCCCCGCCCTCCGCGGGGCGCGTCAGATCGGCGCGCCTGCCCACAGCGCCCTGCGGGTACAGCCCGTCGGTGTCCCTGTACCGAGTCGTGCAGAACGTCATGGTCTTGAGCTCGAACAGTCGCGGGACTGCACGTCCACCCCCGTGGTCGGAGCCTCGTTTGATGTCTTCAATAGTTATTTAAGCAAGATCTAAGCATTGCTTGTATACTAATGTGCATGAGGGTTTGGGTCGATTGCTCGACCTCAGCCTGACGTCGACCAAGCCAGTGACTGAACAACACCTGTTGAACCATGCTGAGCCGCTAATATATATATATACTAATGTAGGGGGGTTCGGGCTGGCGGTGTATATAATTTGCTTAGAAAGATGTAAGCATCGCTTGTATGTCATTTGCTTAGAAACTGAGTCTCGACCGAAGTAATAATTAACGCACAGCGGTGAGTAGCACTACATAGAAGGACGGCGATGAGTAAAACGAGAATAGGGAATAGAGTCAAAAGAATATCCCCACCGCGATTCGAACGCGGATACCCTGCTCCGGGGGCAGATGCCTTATCCGTTAGGCCATGGGGACGGTTAACGTTCTTTCCTTGTTCCATACAGTTATATGAAGGCTCTGCTTCGTGCCCCATGCATATAAGTTGCATCTCAGGGCGCAGCGGGCGAACGGCCTCACGGTGCGACGAGCCGGGCTGCGAGTACCGGGCTGCGCAGGCGGGCAGCCTCAAAGTTGCACAAGCGCACGCACAACAGGGACCGGCCGCACGCGTGCGACGATCCTGGTCGCGAGTACCGGGCTGCTGAGGCGCACATGCGCACGCACAGCGATGACCGGCCGTACGCATGCGACGAGCCAGGCTGCGAGTACCGGGCTGCGCAGCCGGGCTCGAGGCCCACGTGCGCAGCGACGACGACGACGGGCCCTCGCCCATGCGCCCACCCTTCGTGTTGCTCTCCGTCGCTGCAGAAGATCTGCTTTGCTGATCAACGCCGCAGTTTCTGCTTCGGCACGCTCAAGATGTCGAGGCCGAACGCACACAGAGCCAAGCCAATTTATCCTTGGGGTACTGCACTCGGAGGCGGGCGACGAGCAAGCGGCGCGCGCAATCATTCGAATAGCTGTTCATGTCGTCAAGGATGGCGTGTGGGTTGATGATGCCTGGCGCGGCTTCTTGCCGCGCTCGGGCTGTCGGCTCTGCTCGTTCGCGCCGCGAAGACGCGCACCTCGATGGCGAGGCACGTTTGCGAAGCGGGCTGTCGATTCATGCCTCTCTATCTTGCAAAACTATGGTGTGCTTGGCGGCAGGTGTTCCGTGATGCTCGTGGTAAAACAAGTGCTTTCACCGCGCTCGATGGCGACGGTTACAACTACCTCTACCCGGACGGATTCGTGTACGATATGGATCATATTCTTCCAATTCACGCTGGCTGTGGCGACTCGCTCTCGAACTTGCAGGCGATCCACATCGCAAGCCACCGCATCAAGACCAACTTGGAGATGTTTACCTGGCGCAAGCACAATGCGCGCCGTAAGGCGCCGCGTCGGCTATGCACTCTAGCATCGTTTCTTGCCACTTTCTATCTGATATATATATATATATTTATGATAGGGATTCAAGCTGGCGTCTGACTGTTCTGAATGTTGTGCTGGTCTGAGCGCTGCGTCGTCCATTGCCTGCTGCGTGCCTTAGTCGGCTGCGCAGGCTTGGGCGCCACCGCACGTGCCGATGGATCTCCGGTAGTGTGCCCTGATCTATATTTATGACAAGCTGGCATCTGACTGTTCTGAATGTTGTGCTGGTCTGAACGCTGCGTCGCCCGTTGTCTGCTGCGTGCCTTAGTCGGCTGCGCTGGCATTGCCTGATATATATATATATATATATTAGCGGTTTAGCATAGTACAACAGGTTTTGCTCAGTCACGTTGGTCCTATCTGATATACATATACATATTAGCGGCTCAGCATGGTTCAACAGGTGTTGTTCAGTCACACGCTCTTGACGGCAGATCTCGACTTTGAACTGAAGAATCGAGTGCAGTTCGCCATCGGTGCGCTTATCGCGACTGCAATCGCAGGCCTTCTGCTGCCGACCCTGGCCAAAACGCCGATCTCGAATATAGGAGTCAAAACAGGCCTTCAGGCCTTCCTCCCAAATCCTCCGCGCGGTTTAATTTGTCAGAGAAAATTAATAACGTCTGTCACTCGGGGCAGTCGTTCGATTACAGCCACTGAAGCACGCGCTCGATCGCCGCCGCATCGCGCGCGGGCTTGCAATGCGGAAAGCGCGATTCCAATGATGCGAAGAGAACATCGTCGTCGAGCTCCTCTTTTTCCATCAGTTCGCGAGCGATCGAGAGCATAAGTCCGCCCCACTGGTATCCATTGGTGCGCGCCCACTGGAGAACTTCAAGCTGCAAACCGTGCACAGCCGCGCCGCACAGCGCAGTCTCTTGCTCCTCGTGCTCGCAGCCGTTGTCAATCGCCCACACGGGCACATGCAGGTTGCCAGCGAGCGCCGCATTGATGCACGTGAGATAGTCCCATGGGCAATTCTCGCTTCGCACCCATTGGAGCAGTTCTGCGGGGATTGGCGCTGGCTAAATCCAAGGACGAGCTCGGGCTGCCACTCACCGAGCGCGTCCAAGAGCTGCTCGACGCGCTGCGCCCTGGCCACAGAGTGGCGAGGGCAAAGGCTCCCAAGCGCGAGCAGCTGCTCCACATGTGCCTCGACCCGAGCTTCACCCCCCGGACACGCGCGCCCAAGCGGGCGCGCGGAGGGGGCGGCTTGGGCGAAGGCGGTGGCGGCGACTCAGACGACCCCGACTCTGGTGAGGAGAAGTCGGAGGGGGCAGACGCGGCGCCTCTGGGCCCGGCGGCCGGCCTCTGGGACGTCGCGCTGGCGGCCAGCGCTGCGAAGCCGCCGGACAGGCAGCTTTACGCGCGCCGCACGCTGTGCCGGCTGCTGCTTGAGGTGGAGGTGCTCAACGGCACGCCCAGCGTCGGCATTCACGTCGCGCTGCTCGCAGCCGTGGCGATGTTCGGGTCCTTGTCGGTGGGAAAGGCGACAAATCGCATCTTCCTCTCGGCCTCTCGGGCATGCAGCCTCCCGAGTTCAAGGCAGACGTGCTGGGCCGCTACGCCGAGGCCTTGGGGCTCGGGACGACGCCCTCCGGAGATGCATAGGGCACGCTGGTGGTCGGCCCGTACGCCGACACCGACTCCCTGGCGATGCACTTTGGGGGCCGTGGGAGGCAGGTGATCGCGCTGAAGAAAAAGCGCCTCGGGCGGGCGACGACGAGAACACTGGGGCAGCGACGGCGGCGGGCAGCGGCGGTGGCGCGCCGCTCGCACCGTCCACGCGTGAGAACCTCGCAGGCGCCGTGCTGCTGTCCGGGCACCTTTTGGACAGCCAGCCGACTCCCGTCGAGAGCCAGACGGGCGCGGCCAGCTGAATATGACCGCACGCTGATCGCTGCCGCAGCTAGCTCTAATAATAGAGAGTGAAAAGAAATTTCGGTAGGCGGCTTTTTCGGTTCCGCCGGCTTTAAAAAACTTCCCGCGCGAAAGACATTCTCGGCGGGATTCGGCCGGAAAAGCCGCGTGAAAAACTGGCCCTTTTTGCTCCTTGGCTTTTCCCGTTCGTTGGGTCGCGGGGATGCCGACACTGCAGCGCTCGTGCGGCGAGACGATGCAGGCCATGCGCTTCACGCTCCTGTGCATGGCTGCAGGCGTGCAGGACCCGCTCGCCCGTGTGCGGAGGTTCGGCCGCCCCGTCGTCATCCCCCGCGACCCATTCGCACCGCTCATTCTCAACCGTCTCGGTGCGTGTTCTCCACCCTGCTCGCGCGTGCTTGGCTCCTCACGCCTGCCTGCGCCCGCCTGCCGCCCGCTCACACACACCGCCCGCACGCCTGCGCGCCCAGCCCCGCGTCGTGCAGCGTACCTGTCCCTGCCGAGCCGGCGCTTCAACAAGGGCAAGAAGAAGCTCAAGTTTCGCTGGAACTCGATCCCAGAGGAGTCTGTCAAGCAGTTCTGCCGCTTTCGGAATGAGGACATTGACGAGCTGATCGAAGCTATCGAGCTACCCGACGTCGTTCGCACGAGCAAGGGCGACAAGGCCTGCGCGCGTGAGGCGATGATCATCTTCCTCTACCGCTTGGCGTACCCCAACGCTTGGGAACGGAACTACCCGTTCCTTGGCTATCGCGACCGGACCGCCTGCGGCCGTCTCTTCTACCACGTGCTCACCATCTCATCCTCAAGTTCGAGTACAAGCTCAACGACGTCACGCGATGAATAAAAGGTGCAGCTCGAGACGTACGCGGACGCCCTCATCGCCAAGGGCTCGCCGTTCGAGGACGTATTCGGCTTCATAGACGGGTGTTTCGCGGAAATCTGCCGGCCAGGCGGCTATGTGACTCCGGCGACTCCGATGGGCTTGCAGCGGGAGTGCTACAACGGCCATTACAAGGCGGGTGCCCGCGCCGGGCTACCGCAGCGCCCGCCCCGCGTCGAGTGCGTGTGTCCGCGCTGACCCCCCCCCTCCCTTCGCCCCCCTCCCCCCTTAAGGGCCACGAGCTTAAATACCAGGGTCTGGTGCTTCCCAACGGGCTCTTCGGCGAGATGTGGGGCGGGATCGAGGGCGCGCGTGCCGACGGCTTTGTGTACCAGCTCTCCGGTCTGCAAGGTCGCCTTCGCACCATCCAGCTTCGGGACGGCCGCGCCTTCAAAATCTACTCGGACAGCGCCTATGCCCTCTCGCAGTACCTCATCCCGGCGCATAAGGGCGTCATGACGCCCAGCCAGCGCAGCCTGAACGGGACGATGTCCGGCCTGAGGATCTCCAACGAGTGGGTATTCGCGCTGCGGGCGAACCAATGGGGATATGTGCACGACTAGCGGCACCTCAAATTGAGGGAGCAGCCCCTTCGTCAGCTCTACGTCGTCACCGTGCTACTTCACAATGTGCTCGCCGTCAAGTACAATGGCAACCTCATCAGCGCGTACTTCGACTGCTGGCCCGCCGACGACCCCAAGACCCGCACTATGTGGGCATATCTCCATTAACTAAATTAATTTAGCTAGAGTTCTGGAACTAACTTAAATGAATATAATTATATAATAAAGTTGGCCTCGCTAGTGAGCCGGTCCGATTACTGATAGGGTAACTATATTTATGATAGGGATTCAAGCTGGTGTCTGACTGTTCTGAATGATGTGTTGATCTGAGCGCTGCATCGCCCATTGCCTGCTGCGTGCCTTAGTCAGCTGCGCTGGCTTGGGCGCCACCGTGCGTACCAATGGATCTCCGGTAGTGTGCCCGGGCAAGGGCGTTTAGGGAGATGATCTGCTGGTTGCTGTTTGTCGTGTTCCCCCGCTGGGCAGCGATCGGGGCCAGCGCGCTCAAGCGCGCGAGCAGCAGCTGCGCATGGCCGCGTGCCGCGATCGCACCTACAACTATACATTATATAGTCAGACGCCAGCTTGAATCCCTATCAGTAAATATAGTCAATATAGATAACTCGACGCAGCGCTCAGACCAGCACAACATTCAGAACAGTCAGACGCCAGCT